TTTGACCGCTTCGCCTTGGGCATTTTTAATCTGTAGCTCTAAAAGAACGTACGTACCTGGACCCGCCTACTATCCTCGGAAACGTAAAATGATTGGCTAGAATCCAAAGTGTATCACAGCTCAGGGGAAAAAAAGCACTGAAATGTGCGCTGCTTTTCGGTCTGGTTACTACCGTTTATGTCAGAACCGGATACCGGTACCTATCCCTACTCGCAGATTGACACTAGTTAATCTTTGGACAGAGTGTGCATTTCAACCTCTTCTCGCAGCTCTTCCACCGAAGACATTGCAGCAGTAGGCAAGAAGAATTTTGCATGTACAGGTGACGCTGAGCTGAGTCGTTTTTGCAGCTCCTGATGATCTCTGGCTGGCCTCAGGAAACATGCGCTAAAACACAGCTACCAGTTCGCCTCAATAGCAACACCTTCCTCACTGCAGTCTGCCTGGGTTGTATGGGGGGATTTGGCTGGCTTGGACTACGATGTGCAGATTGTGGACACCGGACATCTAAGCAGCTATCCCAGCAGTGCCTCCAAATGTTACACCCCTGAAAACAGGGGGAAAGAATCACGAGAGTGATTATGACTTGCGTCTCTCATGCAGCCGTTTATTGCAGTGAGGAGAACGCGGGAAAGCCCCCTAGTGGAGAATAGAGACACTACTAATCGATCCCAGAAAAGGCTTACTAGCCGATCAGTGATGTATAGATTACAGTTCTCTTAAATAACATGAAAACCATTAATATAACGTGAAAAATAATAACCTCTTAACCATTTTCTTACCATATTAAATTATCTTTGTCCTTATATCTACTGATATGAATTAGTATTAACTGAACCTTTTTATATTCAGTAATCACAGATCACAGAAAATTCTTAGAAAGCTGATCTGTTGTACACATTGTGTTCTCTCCTTCCTCCCACAGTCCAAAGACATGCAGTTAGTGGGATTAGATCAATTACCCAGAGCTGTGAATGTGAACATTTTGTCTCTTTGTGTTAACCCTGTGATAGACTGGTGACCTGTCCAGAATGTGCCCTGCCGCTCACACTATGACAGCTGGGGTAGGCTGAATTCGGCAAGCGGAAGAAAATGAATGGATGGATGGATATGTGCAAGCTCCACCACCCTGAACAATGTAAATGAATAAAGAGCGCTAAAGACCTGATGAAAAACATGTTAGTTTGATTTTAGGGCAACAGTCAGACACCAGCTCCAGACGGTTTCCATGTAAGATTTGTTATTTTCAAGTGAAGCTCATTTAGTTTGGCTTTCTCAGGAAACTCTTCAACATAAACCTTATTTTTTAAAAACAGACTACATCAAACACCCTTAATGCTTAAGGATTAAACTAAAATATTATCTATGTTACACACACACTACTAAACACTGCTAAACTATTTTAAGAATAAAACTCCTGACTCATTTTGTGCCCCTGCCTGTGAAAGGTGACATGAAGTAAAAATAACTTTTGGGGGAGGCAAAAAATATCACATCATGTTGGCTCTCTAAATAGTTTGTCTGCCTCGTATCAATCTGAAATTTGAGTCAGTCTGAAGTCGCAGTTCATCCTGCTGCACACTTCTGTCCCATCCTGACTTTCACATTAAGAGTCCTGCAACTTGTTTTTACTTCCCTTCTGGGCGAGTGTCTCCACTTCAAAAGTTTTATGCTCCTGACAACATTGAGACGTTATCTCGGATCATCTAAAAACCCCTCAGGAGCAGAATTGTCAGGCGCTCAGGTGGAGAAATCAAAGTGAACTGTAAGTGCAGGTCTGTTGGCAGCAGTTTGGTGGTTTCACAGTTTCCAGACGCCCATTAATTATTGATCAGAGTCACAAGAATAACCACAGAGTGATCAATAGATCAGAGTGTCAGAGAAGAGCTAAACCTTCACTGCTGTGACCGCATCACATCCACTCTGTTGGGCGACTGTGGTTCAGGTGGTTGGGAGGCTCATCTGTAACCGCAAGGTTCGATCCCCCAGCTCTCTCTGTCCTGGTCGTTGTGTCCTTGGGCAAGACACTTCACCTGCCGCCTACTGGTGTTGGCCAGAGGGGCCGATGGTGCGATATGGCAGCCTCGCTTCTGTCAGTCTGCCCCAGGGCAGCTGTGGCTACAACTGTAGCTGCCTCCACCAGTGTGTGAATGTGGGAGTGAATGAATAGTGGAATTGTAAAGCGCTTTGGGTGCCTAGAAAAGCGCTATATAAATGCAATCCATTATTATTGATTGATCATACTTTATTCATCCCGAGGGAAATTGGGTTAAGGCTGCCAGCCGTGCCAGCGCCGTCTTACCCTTTTAACCCATTAAGAAACGACACTGATCGTGTCTCTAAAGCATCCGTCATGACTCAACTTACTGTAGGTAAAAACTTTTCAGAGGGAAGATAAAAATAATGAAGGGTAATTCTGTTAAAACAACTTCACAATCCACATTTTGCTGCCTCCACACAATTAAAATTAATTAACTATTAAAAATAGTTGCCAGTTCCATCCATTCGCTTCCGCCTATCCCAGCTGTCATAGGGCGAGAGGCGGGGTACACCCTGGACCAATTAACCTATCCCCACAAGCTGCATGTCTTTACTCACTTTGGACGGTGGGAGGAAGCCGGAGTACCCGGAGGGAACCCACGCAAACACAGGGAGAACATGCAAACTCCACACAGTTTTTTCCCCATCACAGTCTCATGTTTAAATAAGCTCAGGGCAACCGCTACAAAAAGTCCTACAGATAAACACATAAACACAAGCAGGTATTTAAATACAGAAACGATGGAAATGTAACTAGATGAGAAAAATCAAGAATCTGGCTCACGGATTGAAGTGCGTTTACCTGAAGAGTTTTTAAAGGGGTCACTGAGACTGTGTTTTGGATTTGCTCAGGCAGGTAATTTCATAGTTTTGGGGCTCACCTCAGGAACAGATCACACAGGCTGGCTCATAAAAGCCTTAAAGTTGATATTAAGTCTTAAATTCAATTCTGAAAAATGCTGTGAGCCTGCACAGGAGGCTAAAAGAGGTCACAAGGTCACTTCTCAAACCCTGGTGGCAGAGTCTGAACAAAATGAAGCAAAAGAATGAAATTTTGGTTGTGGCAGTGGGAGAGACGGCTGAAATAATCAACCTGAAAGACGGTCAAGGCATGCAAAATGGCCTCAGCATTTTCAAGAGTTTTTCTTCTTATGCACGTAAGACCCTAAGAAGAATAAAAAATAATAATGAGCCAACAGCTCCCTCTAGTGTAGGAACTGCAGCACTAGAAAGATAGAAGTGTTGTCATCTGCTGGACAGTTTACACTGGTGTTAAAAGAAAGTGCTTCTCCTGGGAAGTGACAGCAAATTCTGACAGCATATTAATCGTATTATATTTTAATGGCTAAAACAAACTACAAAAATGAAAGAAATACCTTTATTATGTATTAAGATGAAGAAATGTATATTTTACAAGGTAAAACCTCTACAATGCTAAAGACAGAACTCCAACAATCAAATGATCCACTATGAGAAAGTATGGTGAAAGTGAGGAGGAAGGGCTTTCTAAAAGGAAGAGATCTGCAGCAGAACAAAGCTCAGGGAGGTCCAGCTTTTTGTTGGGCTCAGCTGGAGCGTGAGGGGACAGAGAGGAAAGTAAAGAGGACGACTGAGTTTCAACCAAAGTGATGACGTGGAGCCTGCAGAAAGGAAAACACCATGATCAGCTGTATGATTCCCTGTTTGCATTGCAGTCATCCTCAGGACCTTCATCATAAGCTTGTTAAAGTAAAGTAGTAAAGTAAAGATGAAGATTGAGAGACCAAGCACAACAAACAGAAACACAACTGTGTGATTATTTAAGAAACATGTGTAACCAGCATGAGGGGAAGTGTAACCTTCCTCAAAGTAATCGACATGTGTGAATGCTGGTGATCGCCTCTGAGCATATCTGAATTCATTTTGTGGAGGATTTTCTGATCAAAATATTAAGAGTATGAAGGTGTCATGGAGATGTGGATCAGGTTTTAAAACACAAACTGCCTTCGTCATTTTTTATGGCTAACAACTGATTCCTCACATAAGCACATTCTTCACTGGGACTTGCCTCAGCACTCTGCAAGTGTGTGTGTGTGTGTGTAAAGGTGCTGATGAGGTGGGTTTCAGGTCCTCTGGGTGGCGTTGAGGATCTGGTAACAGTGTGTTCTCAGTGTCAGAGCAGAGAGTAAATCACAGCCCCCTGCTGGTCGTTAAAAAGAATGCACGTTAAATTTACTTCAGCACATTCCGTGTCAGTTCATCAGATGCCCACCACTCGGCCATCTCAGAGTTGAAAAGATTCACTTCAGAACAAGAGAAAATGCACAACATCAGGTTCTCGCTACCGTTAGCTTTGTCATAAATGCTTTAAGTGATAAATGTAGAGACTTTGAACCCATCTGTCACTCGTACCACTGTCCTGCTGTGCTCACTTACACCACCTTCACATAATTCTCTTCCTCACGCAGTGCCACTGTTGCTCGCTTGGTACTGTCACATGCTTTTTCTCGAGCCGCAAACAGGAAGTGAAGTTTCGGCATAAAGATATACTGCTGCTCACTGATCATCACCTCTCTCCTTAACCTAGTTTCAACAACTCTTTCCTGTATCTTGATGGTTTGGCTCATTCATTGTAACTCTTTGCTGTTATTAA